AAGGTGGTCTTAGAAAACGAAATGAGTCAGCAGGGCACAGGGGCTCCGGCCTGTAATCCTGTAATCTCAGCATTTTTGGAGGCCGAGGCAGGTGGATCACCTGAGGTCAGGAGTTCAAGACCGGACTGGCCAACATGGCGAAATCCCATCTCTACTAAAAATCCAAAAAGTAAGCTGGGTGCCTGTAATTCCAGCTACTTGGGAGACTGATGCAGGAGAATGGCTTGAAACTGGGAGGCGGAGGTTGCAGTGAGCCGAGATCATGCCACTGCACTCCATCCTGGGTGACAGAGTGAGACTCTGAAAAGAAGAAAGAAAGAGAGAAAGAGAGAGAGAGAGAGAAGGAAGGGAACGAAGGGAAGGAAGGGAGGAAGAAAATTAATGAGTCTCATGCATGGACAAGCCAGAGGCTCACCTCACTGGAGCTGACCACCTGAGAACTGAAGAGACACAGGACAGAGTACACCCCGACAAATGAGTAGCTCAACAACCACAGAGACAGGGGGTATCCATGCTGGTCCAGGAAGGCTATGAGCGGAAGTGTGAACCAAGATGTCCCTCCTCCACGTAAGCACACAGAACTTCCTGCGTAACCCTGACAACCAGACTCGGGCTTACAACATGCAATTGCCTCTTTTTCTTTCTTTCTTCCGTTCTCTCATTCCTCCTTTCATTTTTTTATCTTTTTGAGACAGAGTCTCGCTCTGTCACCCAGGCTGGAGAACAGAGGCGCAATCTCGGCTCACTGCCAACTCCGCTTCCTGGGATCAAGCAATTCTTCTGCCACCACACCGCAGCCCCCAAACAGGCGAGTAGCTGAGATTACAGGCGTGCACCGCTACGCCTGGCTAATTTTTGTATTTTTAGAAGAGAAGGAGTTTCACCATGTTGGCCAGGTTGGTTTCGAACTCCTGACCTCAGGTGATCCACCCAACTTAGCCTCCCAAAGTGCTGGGATTACAGGTGTGAGTCACCATGCCCGGCCTTTCTTCCTTTCTTAAAGCAAATATGTATGTGATCACTAACTGGCCAGACACACTTGATGTTTTATTTAATCCACAAAACAGCCTTTTGAGACAGGTTGTTATTGTCTCCATTTTACAAATAGAGAAACTGGGGCTCTGAGAAGTTACACACTGGGTGAAGAGACAGGATTCAAACGGCCAGTCTGGACTGTCTCCGTCACGTCTGTTCCCCACAGTCGGTGAAGTCACCACATTCTATGTGATAATCCCCCATGATTCCTTTCTCATCATTTCCCATGTGTTTCATCCTCACCAGGTGCAGAGCCTGTAACTCCATGGAATTCACACATTTCCAAAGCCTTCACTGAGGTCCTGGTGTATATGCCAGATGCTAGGCAGCTGATGGGAGTAACACAAAGCCTCCACTCTCCAGGAAGCCGGCACTCAAAGGCAGAGACAGGCACGTGAACATGTCGCCAGGGGTTAGACAGGAATGCTTACGGGGTCTGGGGGGACGCGATATGGAAATGATTCATAGAACAAGAACCACTTGAAATTAGTCTTGAAAAGAAGCTCCGGCTGGGGGCGGTGGCTCACACCTGCAATTCCATCACTTTGGGAGGCCAAGGCAGGAGGATCACCTGAGGTCACGAGTTTG